TTCCCAAGAAATTTCACCATGCACACATACATCCATCTTTTACTTTTAAATACTAAATAGATTTAGATTAAATACCACTCATCACTAGATGAAATACATCCATTTCCATAAACCTCTATATGGTGTAGCACAGCGAAAGTATCCTCAAAATAAGACAACAACTCATTGTAACAAGTTTAAGCACGGAACATAACACGAAATGACTAAAAGAAAAAATGAAGTTGAAGACTGAAGAAGTAAAATGTATTTCAGCATAACCTGATCTAGTTCCTCGCTCCAGACAAAGTCAAGGAATTCTTGGTGATTGTATGTCTAAGATACAATATCTTAGTTCAGGCCACCAAGACATGAGTTAATGTTATAGAATGCAACAGTCTTACATGGTCCACAGACAGACTTAGAAAATTTCTTGTCTTACTTTGAAAATGGATGTTCTTAAATGCAGATTCTTAAACCAACTTCCATGATATGCCAAACAACTTCGTCTAAATTGTAGAAACCAGACAAAGTTGTAGAAACAGTAAATGACAAGAATTCTCATCCACTTCTAAAAGAAATCACCTTAACAATGAGTACTCCTTATAAAACACTAAAACACCATAACAGAAGCAGTAGACTTATAAATCCAGAGAGGAACAGTTACAAGCAAGCATCAATCAACAATATTTCTAAAGTTGCATTCATAATATCTTTTTTCTTTGTGGCCAACCACAGACTTGAAAAGGTTAATTATGGACAGTTCACACAATCATTTACACATCCTAAACTAGATCAATCCAATCCCTCCAGGCCAAATAAGTCCTGCATACAAGGACAGTAAAAGTACAAATATGTAAAAACCTATATATAGGTACATGATATACTCCCCTATTTGTAAACTATTGAACAAAAACTAACAAAAATACACCCCAACTCGCAGCATGTGTGCATGAATACATACACAGAAAGGATGCATAGTATATCTCCGATTTTCAAACCCATGGAACAGATAGATGAGTTTTGGCCCTTTTCCTATAATCCTATAATATAAAAAAAAATCACTAAGCTTATCGGACTAACTTCTCATTGATGCAAAAAGGATGCATAGTATATCTCCGATTTTCAAACCCATGGAACAGATAATATGGTGGCCAATCAACTAGAAGTCAAAAGTTTACAGTATTATCTAGCTAATATCTAGACTATGGTAAGTACAGAACACAGTACTTCATATATAAAAAGCAGTGTACCTCTGGTATTGTAGTAGTATCTTGAGAAGTCAATAGCACCACCTTTTCCATCCTCCAAGTGCTCCACATTCTTGGTACATGAACCAGAGTCTGAAGTGAATGTCAATACAAACATATCCTCAAGCAATAAGTTTTCACTTGGAATAAAGCACGAAATAATGAAACTTCCTAGCAGTTTGATACAGATAAAAGCCTGGAGTTATTTCAAAAAAAAAACAGCTAAAAGCCTGGAGATGGCTCCAATTTTTCTAGACTTGTACCTCTTTTCTTCTCTCAACATAAGAACATAATCTTCCCTTTCGTTAAGAATGAAAAAGGCATTACAAACTTTACATAAAAATTGGTGCAAACCCTTACTAGAAATCCAAATCAAAGAGAACTAGATAGAAGCTAGAAAATATCATGTACGGAGTTTAACCCAGCCTTTTCTTCTCTCTTCTCCTTCGTCTTACAATTTCTCTATATTACAACCATTGTTGTTTATTTCTTTTACTTCTATTTTTATATTCACCTAGCTTTCCTATCTTTTTCACAAATACCAAGGCTATAAAAATCACCCCTCCCACATTTTCCTATCCTTTTTAGCAAACCCCACAACTGAGCATCTTTTCTTTTTGCTTCATTATAAGACGATGCTACAGGGATTTATAATCTCCCTAGTAAGCACAATTATGCCTTCATAAATTTTCACAACTTCAAGGGTGTTTACGCAAAATCTTATTTAGTACATACTTCAAAGAATATAAATAATCAACTCCTTGAATGGGTACATATTATAGGAATGTAAAAATCCTGTTACAACAAAGTTTGATTACACATGACCTACAACAAAGTTTGAATGGACCACGTTATCACCATTAGAATGGCTTTCTACACCTGAAAAGTGAAAACATCCACAAATCTGGTAATCATGGTGTGTGGCGCTCAAATCTGACAACAAACCAGAATATACCAGCTTGTAATAGCATAAAACTAAAGTAACACAAAAGAGAGCACAAGACATGCAAGTTATGCAGAACAACGACAGAGGAAAATACTAGGAGCAGTAAAATCAAACTGCAATAGATACGCATGAACCTGGTCAGACAAATATGAGGTTATAGAGAGACAGGAGAGGAGAAGCAGGCAGAAAGAGGGAGAGAGAGATGAAGTAATGCTTGGCAGTAACACATTAGGTAAAAAAGATAAAGGATAAGATCAAGACAGAATAAATTAAGAGGAAGCATAAATCACGAAGAAAGAACTAAGCACAGTGGGAAGGATAAGAATGATGGAGTAAGAAGAATAATATATCGAGAAATTGCCCAGAAGTTATCAAAATTAACTGCCCAGAAAAAGAAATGTTGTGTTCCAGTAATTTATGTAGGTAGGAGATATACCTAAGAGTGAACAACATTTCTTCATCGGTTCGAAAAATCTCCTTTAGTACAAAGTACACTATCGAAAAGAAAAGGATAATACATGTATCAGAAATATACAAACAATTGTTTTCTTAGCGTATGGAAGTATTGGATATCTCAGATACTTATCACCTAAGTGAACAAACAATTGAAAAAAAGTCCCAAAATACTCCTTACAAGCATAGAAGACAGTCATCTCCCACCACTGGTTCTTATTCAATTTCTCTTTCCCAAAAGTTCTTAACTCAATCTCTAACCTTGAAGAAGAGAATTAAATTAGAGGAGACAGTCACTGCATCGTATTCAATGTGAAGCAAGCCTTAAGAAGTAAATTAAAACCCAATTATTATATTATCTCAGAAAAAACCCAATCATTATAAACTAATCTTCTAGATGACATTTTAGCCTCAAGAGATTGACAGCATTACAAATGAACTATTCTGACATTAAATATTACCTACTTCGCAGCCTTCTAAATGCCAGCTAAGTCACAGCCTTGTTAAATGCTCAATTGTGCACAATGCAATCTGGATCCTCAAGAGGTAGCTAAGGTTATAAATGGCATCTGTGACAAAAACTTTCCTATAGAAAATAATGACATTAAGAGAAGAAGATTTAAATAAAGACCCTGAACCTCTCAACTCGCGCATGGTACCAAAAGCTAGGATCCATCCAGGCATGAAGAGTGATGGACAGTGGCTAATTTTGCAGCTGCCAATATTGGCACCATCCAATACACCTCACTGAAATTGAAATTGCTCGTGCGATGTAGAAAAATTAATCAAGATTAATACACCGATCAAATACAGTGGCAACCCATATAAAAGGCGATGACATAAAAATTATTCTAAGTGGAAAAATTCACATAATCCTTGAAAAACAAGAGCACGTCTCTTATTGTAATCACTTTTATGTATTGAATTTCTATACCGCCCTATGTATTCACATACCAACACGAGTACTCTACATCAGCGCATGCACCATACAGATAAGAACCAAACTCATAGGAGAAGCAGCTCAATTCCCGGGTGCAAAAGACAACACTGTAAGCCTACAAAGATCAGAGTTGAAAGCTAGCAGTACAAGCAAGATATAGGAAAAAGAGACCCAACATATGTAGTTCTTGCAACAGAAACTCCTAAGACCTTGTAAACATGCTACAAGAGCGAGCCAGCCGGAATGTCAGACCACCTCCATGAACACTAGCTCAGCCTCGATTGCCTCCTGCTCATATGGCTTCCTGCAACCAGGACAGCGTCCATCCTCCTCAAGAATCCTCTTGTGGCAGAAAAGGCAGAGACGAAACCCACAAGCACAAGGCAAAAAACTTGAGTCTGTCGAATCCAAATCCTCATAGCATATTGGACATGAAGATGGCACAGATATAGTATTCTTACAAAGCCACGGGACTCCTCCTTGACAAAAATGCCGCTCCGAGGTTGGAAAACTATGTTGCTTTGACAAAGTAGGCAAACTCTGCGGGCGATAAGCATCGTCAGCCCGCCATGCCTTGCAGTTCCCCGGTACCCTCGGCACCATTCTTGGGGATTCAGGCTTCACATTCCGAGTACCCATGGCAGACCCTATGCTTGACTCCCGGTGAGGATCCAATTGAACAATACGCTCCGGCTCAGGGGGCAATTCAGAACAAGGATTTTCATTCTCGTGCTTGTCATCAGCGGCTAAGGCATCAGCAACTGCCTCCCAATCATCCAAGCACCCGTCATCCCCATCGTCCTCCTCATCCGTCATGCTACCGGAACAACAGTCACCGCTGCTAGTGCTACTGCTGCTACTCCCAGTGAAATTCGTACCCAAATCGGTGCTTCCCAAGAAGCTACTGGTGGGACTATTGGACGGAGATTCCATATCGCTCTCGTGATGAATTGATCCATCGTTTTCCTCACCTTCCCGGCTAATCTCTAGATTCGGTAACGAAGTGTGACTCTCCCTGTGCTTTCCCCTCAAACACTGCCGATCGTCATGACCGTTAATTTCCTCCTTAAATCCCTTCTTTTTCACTGCGAGTAACAGAAAAAAGAACATCCAAGATTCTAAATCAACACACGAGTTCCAAAATATTTTATCACAGTTAAATGAAAACAACAAACGAGATCGTCGGCAACCTTGAGCAAGCC